AGTAAAAGTACTCTTTGACGCCAATGGTACATCGGGCATATGGGGCAAGACTCATCTCTTAATTGACTAATCGACCCTCCATGCGTGTAGTGGTCGAAATCGCACCGGCCTCTTTTACCTCACATGGCTTTTCGTTTTACCCATTGTAGCTGGGACGACTGGCGCCAAAGTTGTTTTAAATAAAAATCCGACTAGATGCGGATTCCAACTATCAGCGACTTCGTCGGCGGTTGGGGACAGTATTTAGGTCTGTCTCTTTTGATCGGATCAATACCTCAGGAGTCCCTTTCATTACTCTTGGTGGCGTGGGTGAGTGAGTGAGAATCAACCACTCCAGGACATCCACCGAGTGATAAACACTCAGTGACACAAAGCACCACCATTCGGATGAGGATAACCCAGGGAGATGTCCCAGAAACCCTGTTCAACCCATAGGTTGGGTTATATTATGGCCCTCCGGTAACAGCCAGAGTGGAGCTTTAAAAAACACATTGCATCTGACATTGGAACGCAGTGAGTAAATAATTAGTGGCGTGCAGTGCTAAATCATTTTTTATAGCGCAAATAATTTAGTCACAATTATAACCTTGAGCTTCCCCTTCAGGGATGCTGGTTGAACGACTTTTTTTTTTTTTAAAGCAAAGCAACAAAGCAAAGGATTCAAACCTAAGACCTTGTTCCTGGCAGGCAGGTATCTAACATCTACATCACCAAGCCTCCAAAATTATAATCAAAGGATACTAGGATATTAGGAAAACCAACAGTGGAACATTAAGGACCACAGTGCTGCTCGCCCGCGAACCCAGAGTTTGGGGGTTCTAATCCCTATGGGGCAGGACTTCTTTCCTTGTTTACACGACCTTTGATGTTGGCCACATCACCCATCCAGTGCCGATTGACATATTAAATATGGATCTAGCCCTGTATGCCTAATATGCCTCAAGAAGCGGAAAGAGGTTCTTTACTGCTACTTAACAGTGGAATATTAAAATATATACTCTACAGTTGTTTATTTCGGTTATTTAACCAAGCACAGTAGTAAAATACAAAGAAGAATATTATTTCAATTTTAATATTACATCGGCAAAGAACATCAACACCAGCAAAGAACATCTACACTAGCAAAGAACATCTACAAAATAGTAAATATAATCTGAAACCTGGATGTGAACATCAAGCGATTAGTTACTTGTTGTCTTGCGGACAGGCGTGGGCCTCCACGTTTGTACACAACCTTCTTTTATTGCTCTTTTTTATCACTGCAGTATTGCATTAGTTCGAATTCTGACAGCTTTTCTAATATCTTTCCGTTTTACCATCATCTTGTGATTTGACAAAAATAACATGCATTTATCTTCAACGTTTTCCTTCAAAGTCGGACAGGATCCACGTGATGGCGAGGAACCAACAATCTGCACACAAGGTAGCTAGTTGAACGTATACACAAGCAAAACTCAAGTCATGCAACAAGACCAAAGTTCAGAAGTGGATGAACAACCAGGGCTTGTAGCAGACGTTAACTGTCTGTGAAACGCGAAGAAAAATAATTATCTGCATTTCTTTATGCTTCATTTATTATAAATTTTTTTTTTTTTTTTTTTTTTTGTCAATTTTTAATTACTTTTTAAAATTTATTTTATTTGTGAACTTGTTTGTTAACATAATGTGCCAGATCATATTCTATATTTTTTTTTTAGAAAATAATGTTTACTCCCTCCCTCTTTCTGTCTCTCTCTCCCTCCCTCTTTTTCTCTCTCCCTCTCTCTCTCTCCCTCTGTCTCCCTCGTTTTCTCTTTTCTCTCTTTGATCCCTCTCTCCCTTTTACCTACTACTTCTATTGCTACAGGGGATGCCATTATTAAGTTCATGGTAAGCCCTTTTCCCTCAAAGCTGTTTCGTTTGCAGTCACATAAAATAATGTGCATATTTTACCACAAGGTGACAGGAAAAAATCCGGGACTTGGTAGCAGATTCTACAACGGATTACAGGAGTTCATAGTGGTTGGTGTGTTCATATCTTCTTCAGTTAGTCTGTATCAGCTACCTAGACAAACTGCAAACAATTTCAGCAACATATCACTTTACTTATCTCAGTCTGCTCCCATATCAAACTACTTACAATATTATAGTCTATTTCCACGACCTCCACCAGGGCTGGCGATACAAAGAAAACAATGGGGGTGGGGTGTGTTTGCCCGGAAATGAGGGGTGGGGGGCAGGGGAGGGCTAAGCCCCTTACACAATTTTCCAGGGGAAAGGGCATATGAGAGGCCGAAGACTGATTTCTTCTTAAAGTCAATGCAGGTGTGGCGTTGGTAGTCATGTCTGTCCACAAGCTTCTGTCTCGTGCAATCAACTCTGACATAGATGATCTTCCATGTCATAATGTCAAACCGTCTAGCATCTGTTCTCTCGGTCTATCTCTGCCTCTCCTCATCTAAAGAAGGCTTATTGTGTGTAATAATAATAAAAGCAATGTGCAGAATGGTAAATAAATGGTTTTTTTTTTTTTTGGGCTTTTCACCCTATCTCGTGGCCTGCAAGACTTTGTAGGGAATTTATATTAAGTTCAACTGAATGTTCCATATTATAAAGGGGTTAGGATGAGGGTTATCTTCCTCTTCTTCTTCTTCTTATTATTATTATTATTATTATTATTATTATTATTATTATTATTATTATTATTATTATTATTATTATTATTATTATTATTATTATTATTTCTTCTTCTTCTTCTTCTTCTTCTTCTTCTTCTTCTTCTTCTTCTTCTTCTTCTTCTTCTTCTTCTTCTTCTTCTTCTTCTTTTTCTTCTTCTTTTTCTTCTTCTTCTTCTTCTTCTTCTTCTTCTTCTTCTTCTTCTTCTTCTTCTTCTTCTTCTTCTTCTTCTTCTTCTTCTTCTTCTTCTTCTTCTTCTTCTTCTTCTTCTTCTTCTTCTCCTCCTCCTTCTTCTTCTTCTTCTTCTTCTTTTCTTCTTCTCCTCTTCTTCTTCTTCTTCTTCTTCTTCTTCTTCTTCTTCTTCTTCTTCTTCTTCTTCTTCTTCTTCTTCTTCTTCTTCTCTTCTTCTTCTTCTTCTTCTTCTTCTTCTTCTTCTTCTTTTTCTTCTTCTTCTTCTTCTTCTTCTTCTTCTTCTTCTTCTTCTTCTTCTTCTTCTTCTTCTTCTTCTTCTTCTTCTTCTTCTTCTTCTTCTTCTTCTTCTTCTTCTTCTTCTTCTTTTTCTACTTCTTTAGCTCACCCGAAATAGATTATCTGTATCTGCAATGTTGTCTCTAGTATGAAATTCACTGTCTTGTATAATCCACCCAGCGACCCCTAAAATTCGGTTTAAAACGGCGCCTTGAAAAGGGGCACCTTTGAGTGGCAGCGGGAGAGGGTCCTGAAAAGGTCTGACAGCCCCACTGTGGAATAGGGTTATGGTTAATGTTAGCGTTAGACGCAGCGATGCTGACAAGTCAAGCAAATTCATGGCGAAGGTGAAGTCACGAAGTAAGAACATTGCTACCAAACAGGACAAAGTGGTGGCGACGAACGAACGAAAGTAACACACACTGGACATGATGACTCTATAAACTATGAAAACATCAAAAACTACCAACACGTGACAAGCCTAGAATATCCGATTTTAGTGTTTTGGGGTTATTGTTAAATGAGCACCTGCTAACACTATTCCGAACCGTAACCCCATATACAATAGGACATTCCGGGCTGCTCTTTAGGCAATAAAAGAAATCGCACAGCCCTCGAGATGGGTTGAAAAGGAGGAATAAACCAAGTAAATGTAGTGATAATATGCTGGAAATAATGTGAATCCATCAACAAAAACTTCAAGGGAGAACCTGTAGACGCTTGGTCCTGACCTCTTACATATTTCTTTGGTAGGCGGTGGTTGGGGTAGGAGTTAAACTCACCCCTCCCCTCCCCTCACCCCCACTTCTAAAAAGGGTTTTGGTGTGGCCTGAAGAAGACCCCAAACCGCCCCTCCCCTCCCCTACTTCCAGGTTCCTGTGCTCCTGTTTCATTTAAATAGTTATCTATACCTAGAATTCCAGAACAGCGTTCTGAGAAGTGTTTTCAATGACTGTCACTGCTTCCTATTGGTTATGCTACTAAATTATGTGCCGAATGGCAAAAAAAAAATATATATAAATGTCTTTGAAATATGAAATGGATGAAGAAATGTTTAAAATAAGAGCTTATATACGCGGCTGGGGAACTACATATCCCTTTTCTAGAAGGAAAGCGGAGAGAGGCTCAACCCTAACTATTATTGGGTGGCGCGGGGGAGGGGGGGGGTGGCTTAATCTACCACAGCTCAAACGATTTTGGGAAGGGACCCAATGTGCCCTAATCTCCGATCCCCTTAGCCCTCAGGTCCGGCACAATTATTTACATATATATAGTGGAACCTCAGATACTAGTGTACCAGGATACGAGTGTACCAGGGTACGAGATCAGGATAGCCCATTTGTCTGCCGCGGAATACGTGGCGAAATCCAGGATGCGAGCCAGAGAGACAAGAACTCTCGGCATTATCCGACAGCATCTGGATAAGTTTTAACGGGATTAAGTCAAGTTCACATGGTCTGCCGAGGACTTCAGCCAGTCAAAAAGGCACTTGCTGATGATAACAATGGACTGTAGCATCAGGTCAGAGGTAAAAATCCCCCTTTCCGCTACCGGTATAAACAAAAAGCTTTGCCAGACTTTTCCTCTTTTGACAAAACGGACAAACACCATTTTGAAACTGATAGATTTTTTTTTTTTTTACGTTAAAGTGAGTTGCGTATCCTTTTCAGGACGTTGCAGAACTAGCTCCAGCATTTATTGCCTGTTGTGGTTTTTCTAGGCAAATTTTACGTTCAGCAGTTTGCCATTGCTACTGCACGGTCAGCTCTCGTAACCACTGTTGAAACTAGCGCAAGACAAATTGTCTGCAGTTGGGATCGAACCAAGGCACCCCGGCATTACGAAGCGCGTTCGCAACGCCTAAGCCAGAGACATTTTCTTTAACGGCTGGAAGAAATCTCAATTATTTACATTAATTTTAATAGGGAAAAAAACTTTTTAAAACACGATTTATTTACAAAACGAGCTCGGTCAATGAGCGGATTAAATTTATATCCGAAAGCTCCACTATACATAGTAACAGAGAATGGAACTTACCAACCCACCTTGTTTCATCAACTAGTATATATACACACATATACATATGTGTGTATATGTATGTAAAACATCTTAGAATGTTTTAGCTAGACCACATACTCTGGTGTTGTACAGTATCCACCCTATTGTATCTGTTCAGTTGTCATTATCTTGTCTGTCACCCCCAGATGTGTTCTTCTTGTCCTTAACTCGAATCTTTCGGGCGAATGCCTTGGCTGGGTTCAGGATCTTGGTAGAGTTGATGGCCACACGAACTGGCACTACCTTCTCGTCTACGGGACACGGTCCATCTGTGACGCTGACGTCATCGATGGCTATGTCTCCCAGATATCCTTTCTCTGTAATCCCCTCAAAGGCAATCTGCAAGTGAACATAGAGACAGTGACTCTACATGGTGTCTCATGAGTTTCCATAGATAGGAAACATAAACGAGAATGAACACTACGGTACCTTATTAAAATCCTACCCCAAATATGGGAAATCCACAGGTCACGGGACAGTCCAATATTTCAGGGGGTGGTAGATAGGCTGCATGCAGTCTTGGGACCTCTGCTGCATAATTTCGTGGGACCTAGGCTGCAGTCTCTCATGGGACATAGGTGGGTTGGGGTTAGGGCTAGTTCTAGGTGATTTGGGGTCGTAAAAAGCGTTAGAAAGCCGGGAAATCCAGTCTTACCACCTTCTAAAATGTTAGACTGTCCTGTGACGTCATCTGGGGGGTAAGATATTAATAAAGAAACAAAACTACTTTTACTGACATAAAATGCTCATCACTACTAACATTGTATTAACTGACCAGTTCTGCACCACTTGGTGGTGAATTGATGGATGACAAGCTAGGATGACAAGTGAGGGCTTTTTGTTAGCGAGTGAACAGTGCGGTGGCACAAATAGATCATTACGGTCTGAGGACAATGGCGCAGCTATCGGATCTGGCCGACGCTCAGTACTCAATACTCAAGTGAAAGGCGAGACGGATATAAAATCAGTTACTTGCTGGTACCATCGGAATTGGAACTCTTCGTTTGCTGTTGAAAATGGAGACGGAGCGCTTATGAGAGTGTCCCGAGTGCTGTGATGTCGATTTTCAACTAAAATTTTCGACATTCAACATTGTTTTTAAAACACATTTCAGTAGGCGTTCTCTACTGGAAAATATCACCGTATAGGCACCGCTGGAGTTTTACTTGTACGGGGTTAGTAATATGTTCATTTTTCTCATGTTGACCTTTATGACTTAGTTGCGTATCTTTTATAGGACGTTGCAAAACCAATCCCAGCATTTTTTGGCTTTTGTGGTATTTCTAGGCAAGTTTACGTCCAGTAGTTTGTCACTGCTTTCTGGATGGTTGGCTTCTCGAAACCATTGTCGAAAGCAAAGCAAGGCGCAAGGCTCGCAGCTGGGATCGAACCCGACACCATGACATTATAAAGCGCATTCGCAACGCCTAAGCAACAAACACCGACACATTTATGAGATATCCAGTAGATTATTTCAGTTACGCAAAGGTTCTTCTTCTTTTCTTTCTCCAGTTACCTGATGGCAGCGTTGACGGTGATTTGAACATCTTTTGTGCGTTCCTTTATTGTATAAGATAATAATTATTTCTTAAGACTGTTCTTGATGCTGTCGTTTCCTGTTTAAAATGGTCTTTCCTTTGCTCTTTGTCCAATATATTTCTCCAGCGTCACTTTATATAGAAGCTGGTTATGGCATTCTCACCAGATGGACAAACCATCTCGTCTCTTGCTCTTTGACAAATTGTATGACTGCTTCTGGTCCTAGTGTTCTTATTTCTTAATTGTAAATTATATATTTTATCATTACCCCATTAGCCCTTCTCAGATATTTCATATCAATTTCATATCATTTCAATGTTATGACATTGCGCCCATTAGTTACAAAAAAGGTTAAGATAGCACCAGCTTTATTCCATTTCATTATACTCTCTTACCTAGTTTGCTCTCCTGCGGGTCGGTAGGTCGTTAATTCAAATCCTGATGGAACCGGTTGCCAGATCGACCCATACATAAATAGGTACGAAGTAAAGTAGGGAAAGTAAAGGCGGCCGGCATGATGCTGGCTGCATCATCAACCGAGTGCCGATTAGTCTATAAAATATAAGTCTATCCCTACATACTGTCAAGGAATGAACCGCCACTACACATTGTAGACGAGTCGGGACCTGGTACACCCCACGCTCAGAAAAATTTCAAACTTAGACCCGTCCAGAAAGGTATATAGTTCCTTATATTGATCTATACCTTTATCGGGTAAAATAGTAATTTCTAGACCTTCTAGTTACTTTGACTTATCGTCATTTTCAAATTTGCAACTGTAGGTTGACGATTTCTAGGGCTTTATTTGAATATTCATGGAAACCGGTTTACTCCTTGCTCATGTATACAAGGAACTTCTTTTCCACTGACGCCAAGCGTAAAGTAGAGCGGGCATTCTTCTGCCTGCATTCCTAGAGATCAGATGTGTTAATCAGCGCCTCATAAATTCATACTTGAGAAGGCGGCCTGTAGTGTCCAGGACATTTCCTATGCTTGGGTAAGTTAATTATAGTTTACGAGTACCTTAAATGATGTTTTGTTAAAAGGGTTACTGCTGTAGATAGAGCGGTATCGGCTATGGGATCGCACAGAGTTCGACCGTTCTTGAGGTCCAGAGAACCGGATCCGAACCTGAAACCTTCTTCTGTACAGACTAAATAGTTTGTGCTCTAAATAACCCACACCATTGGTAAAGATATTGAACCCTACAAGTATTCATCCTTTGAACTAGCAACAAAGTTTGTGCAATATTAACGGGGACGGAGAATGTAGGTCAGTTTCATCGGGAACTAACGCGTTGCTTTGAGTGTGTTTGACACAGATCCAGGGGTGTGTAGTGATTGGCCTGAGGAGACGGAGGCGATATGGGTACTGACTGAAAACATTGGTGTCTGTGTGCAGATGTGAGGGGGGAGAGAGAATGATATATGGGTGATAGTGTCTATCTGTCTCCACTATATATATATCTGACTTTTCATCTCTTGCACTACACAGACAGATAAATGAAAGGAGACAGGGTCTCCTGGTCTTGAGAGTACACTCTGAGGAATGTAACAGAGGAGCAGAGGTGGAGTAGGCTGATGTGTGATGGAAACTGATTGCTAATTCTGAGTTCTTTCCTGTCAAGATGATACCCTCTTGGTGATTACTAATTCTGAGTTCTTTCCTGTCAAGATGATACCCTCTTGGTGATTACTAATTCTGAGTTCTTTCCTGACAGGATGAAACCTCTGTAGAGAGCGGGCAGATCAATCACAGTCCTACCAACATCCAACAACCAGCTAACCACAGTTTGTGTACCAGACATAACAATGGCCTGCTCTATGTACCACTACCTCAACATGACCAGAGTGTGTGTGAGAGCTCCAGGACGAGTGAACATTTGCAGAGGTTGTGCCAGTGATCGAGTGTACCAGTCTTCATGAGCCTGGTTGGGCTCTGAGACAGTTTGTGACCTGACCTGTGGAAGAGACTGTGTGAGTCCCTATACAGTTTCTGTGTCCTCGATGGTGGGGTACTCCTCTGTGACCAGATCAACTTGAGGAAAAGCAATCAGAGTCAACTACAGTCGTATCACCATGGACTGAGTGGAGCATCAACATAGGAACTCTGATAAGTGACCGTTTTGTTTCATTATCATGCTCTATTCCCCACAGCTCCACTGTTTCCGGTGATGAACACTGATACATTTCAAGATCATCTGGCTGCTTCAATATCTGAGTCATAGCTTTGAGTCCTGATTCTATAAACATTCTGGAACATTATTCTTCTATTTGTGTAAATAATTTGTACTTATTACATACATTCATTTTCATGGCTGACTTAGGTGTCTCTATTTCACCTTTCTAATTGTTTAGCATTGATGTGTGTATGAATAATAATTGTTATATGTGTTAACATGGTTATGATAGTAGACTATCATAACCTAGGGGCTATCTTTTTATAGTAGTAGTGGTGTCCAGCCAAGTGTGTCTAGGAATATTATATATATATATATATATATATATATATATATATATATATATATATATATATATATATATTGTAGTGCCAAAACTTGAGTTGCCCTACTCCAGAAATAAGTTGAGCTTATATTGGCCACGGGGCATCCCTTAGACCAATACGAGCCAAACGACTCAACATAATTATTTTTGAGTGCTGTTGGTTCTTAAGGAGAAATCCTTAAATCAGGCACGTGACAGGAGTGATATGTGACACATGCCCTAATACGTCTGCAGGCGTGGACAAGGATCCTTTAGTCCCTTACCTGATAACCTGTTCTGGCCAACTCCTGAGGGATGGCAAGTCTGGCGCTGGTCCAGAAGTCTCCTTGGTTACCATAGGCTCGCCAGGCAGACTTCAAGTTATCTCCTCTTGGCTGCAAATGTAGGGTTAGACGATACATACATTAACGGATGAACAATCATCTGGTGTCAACATTATAAATAATAACACAAAGTACCCCCTCTCTACGCTAAGAGTCGTCAATTATATAGGATGATAGTCGAGCATTGAGACTTATCGGCCACTGAAGGGTGATGTAGTCAAAATTTCAACGGCCGCATTTACTTCCCCAAAAAATTCAAATTATCTGTTTAACCTATGAGCCTTTGGTAATGTGGTTAAAACCTTCCAAAAGGTATGAGTATATCTACGACACTCAGCTCCGGATTTAACTTAGGGGTGTATGAACAATAATATTACACGTAATAGCTGCTGGTAAGAAACTGTAATATTGGAAGGTGTGTTTGCAGTAGGTAGCACGGATTGTGACCGGCCACCAAAAAGTCCTGCATGGGATGACGTTTGAACCACTTGCTGTGTTACAATAGGATAGGAATAAACTCCACAGGGGAGCAAGTACAGCAGGGATCTACCAGTCATCAGTAGAAGTTATCCTCGTCGACAAGTGTTTCGGCCCACGATTCTCCTAGACACTTTCGGAGGTGGGCCCACCTGAGTTCATGGAGCTCAGGGCTGGTACCCTGCTGCACGAAATTACCGGATGGTGTTTTTCTTTCGGATAGGGACAAAACGACTTGGTGGTTTCGCAGAAGGTAGTGTGAGATAAGATGCCGCCGCGGTAGCCTAATTAGATCAGTCAGCATATCTAGACGACCGAGCGACAAGCTTACGATTGGTTTACCGGACACATGTTGGACTTTATTAGCAGGTGGCAGAGGATCACTGGCAGACAATTCAGACACGATGGACTATCAAGGGTGAGAAACCCTTTTCCACTAGAAACCCGGACCAGCTCATCGAGGCCCGTCCCCTACGTTGTTGCGTTGCGTCCAAAGCCAGCCCGAGGCCCTTTCGGCTGCCTCGCTCAGTTTTTTTTTTTTTAACAGAGTGGAGGCTAATGCATTTCTGTTCCACATAGTGTCAGGCGATGAATCCTGGTTTCACCACTTTCAGCCGAACAGCCAAAGAGGCAGCTCGCAATGGACGCACGCTGGATCACCAAAATTCTAAACATTTCAAGTTACTGGTTACCGTCTCTAAGCGTTTTCACACATATGCAGACATAATGAACGCCGTAAAACACTTGGTTCAGTGAGCATGCACAAATTTTTTTTTTTGTTGTTGTTGACGGACAGCATTCATCGCCTACCTAAACTTTGGGATGCTTGCCTGACTGCCTACGGCGACATTTTCTGACCACACCATGGTGCATAATTCTTTAAAAATGCATGCTTTGTTGAATTATGCCACACCTGTAAATATTTCTTTCGGGTTTTTGCAATAAAGCAATTGGAATGGGCACCTGTGTATTTGAATGGTTTTGTTTCCACAAAATACGAAATAATCTTCTGTAAATCCACAACTCTAGAGACAAATCGATATTTATTTAGTTGCTTGTTTATTGTCCAGATTTCTGCATCTTACAGTAAGGCAAAATATTTGACGATTCTCATTTCCATGTAACCTGTGTCTCTCTAGACGTCAATAATGTTCGAATCCTGTTGAAGATACTTTAGCTATTCCTATTTTCTGTTTGAATTCTTCTCACCCATGCTCACTCTATGTTAAAACGTTTCAAACTAAGTTGTTCGACATTTTGACATTTTGCATTGTTTGTATTCAGTACATTTGAGAATAATAATGTATCGATGGTAACAATGCAATAGAACAGACATAGTACCTATAACTTGGCAATTTAGACTTTCGGCCCAAAATGGAGGACTAGGCATGGCAAAATGTTTAGCTGCGAAGTTACTGTTTTTTCTTCTTCTGACTGCGCTTTGCTAATGCAGTTTCAACATATGAACTACCCTCAGCTATTTAGTTAGGTTCGTGGAGCAGCACTGTGAGCTGTGTTTTTCATGTGGAATGCGTCATTTTTTGCATCGGTATTTGCCGTTGTATTCAGTAAGGCGGGTAGAAGGCGAACGCGTGGGCTGGCGAAACACCTAAGTAATAATTCTCTGTGTGTATGACCTAGTTATCGTGTCTGACTACTTCTGTCAACGGCAAACTGCATTTCTGGTGGCGACTGTTGGCTTTGTCGCCTCTAGCAACTGCCTTATGCGTTTACTGCCTGTGCATATTTGGTGATCGTGCCCGGACTAATTGTTTGTTTATCAGTTCTTCAGATGGGACAGTGAGGGACAATTCATCCGAATTTTACTGGTACAGAAAGGAGCCAGTATAGGTTGATCTGACTGAGGTGAAGTTGAAACTAAGACTATGTTGATTCAACAATGAGTGAGCGGGGGATCTGGACAGTTTTCAACAGGCAGGCGAAGAACAACACCATCAACATGGGGACTCCTCACTGGCTATCAATGAAGAGGAAGAAGCCCATGCGAGATGACCCAGTGCGATGATGCCAATTCTTTATTAATTCATTTATTGCTAATGTTGTCCCTTACGATGCTGAGACTGTGGACCTTATTCACACAGTGGCTGCGTCGGAATAGTTTGGCAAGAACCACGTAAGATCAAAAGTCTGATATATTTCATGTGTCCTCACTTGCACATATTTCCTAGTGATACGTTATAGACTATAAGTTAAACAATTAATTAATACACTATGAAAATTCACTAAATGGTGCCTGCTTAGAATATAGGAAATTAAATGGCAGGACAGAATCACCATTGTTGAGGTTTGTGAGAGGACCAAACAAGTTCTGCTGGATCAGGAGGTGAATAAAAGACGCTGGTATGGATAGAACACGCGTTGAAAAATCCTGGGAATACGATAACTAGACTGTTTTACACTGGAACCCACAGGGTCATAGAAATAAAGACAGACATAAAAAGCCACGTAGAAGGGAGGTAGAGAGTAAAGTGAGAAAGCCGGTATGCGCTGTATGCAATAGCGAAGGATAGAAGCACTTAGCGCGAGTAGGTTGAGGGCCTATGCTCCACTGGGGACAGAAGGCAGACGAAGAAGAATGGTATAAAATAGATGAAAGATACTTACCTGTGCGTAAACATTGAGTGTGCCAATATGTTTGCCGTTCATGTGGTAGAAGAACTCCACACATTGCTCGCTCATACCCCGGTACAGCGGCGAGTACAAGATAGCATTACTGCCCCGCCCCTTGGCCGAGGCTTCGATGTACATGAAATGTCCTGGTGGATAATAAATATAAGTAGTGTACATGAAATATCCTCGTGGATTATAAATATAAGTAGTGTACATGAAATATCCTCATCATCATCATCATCATCATCATCATCAGGTGCCTTGCCAACTGGCATGGGCGATCATGCCTCTCCATAATCTGCGATCTCCTGCAGCATGTATCAGTTTGTGTGCCGACACACATCCATGCCATGCAACAAGACTGTCAAGCATCTTCTCTCGTTGTCTTCCTCTATCTCTTTTTCCACAGATCTTTGCAGTGGTCACAACATGTTCTATTTTCCCACTTCTCATAACATTGCCAAAAAAATGATGACTGTCTCCTTCTGATGTCTGTGATAAGTTGTCCTTGGGCTCCCACCTCTTTGAAATATCCTCGTAGATAATAAATGTAGGTAGTGCACATGAAATGTCCTGGGGGATTATAAATAAAAGTAGTGTACATGAAATGTCCTGGGGGTTATAAATATTGGTAGTAGTGCACATGAAATGTCCTAAGGGAATAAAACTAAAGGTAGTGTACATGAAATGTCGTAAATGATAAAAAACATGAAGAGTGTATATGAAAAATCCTAAAGATAAGAAATATAGGCGGTGTACATGACATGTCCTAAAGATAAGTGAAATAAGCTGTGTACATTAAATGTCCTAAAGATAAATAAGCTGTGTACACCAGATGTCAAACAGATAGGAAATATAAATAGTGTACATGAAATTTCCTAAAGATAAGAAATTTAAACAGTGTACATGAAATGTTAAACAGGTGAGAAATATAAACATTGTGTACACGAAATGTTCAAGATATAAGCAATTTGGATGAAATGTCGCAAAGATACGAATTATAAACAGGTACATTAAATTCCTCAGGATAATAATAGTAAATATTGTATACATAAAATGCCATACAGATGAAATATTAGCAAAGTATACGAAGTTCCCTGGAAATAAATTATAATAGCAATGTTAATTATAAAGTATTAAAATGTTCTGTATAGTTTTTCACTGTTTTGTGTGGGCAAATATAACAACTGACACCATTAACAAGACATCCAAACATAAGTATGAATCAGATTGCAAGCAGCATATTCATACCAACAATGAGCTACCTGTGCCAGACTTGGATATTATCAAAGACTAACCTACGTAAAATTAACACCTGTGAAATGAGATGCATGAGAAAAGTCGCCAACTTAACCATCCGAGACAGAGTTTAAAATAACAACAGTCTGCATACAAATAAGCAAGATCTGTAAAACGGATGCACGCTTAAAACTCAGGTCCTGGTACAGCGCCGAAGTCCAGAAATGGCCGAACAACCTGGTCATACAGCCAGTGAACGCAAACAGCAACAACAACAACAACCATGCAGCAAATACATTGAGAAACAGAATATCAAATGCTTTAGTCATTTAGTAAGAATGCAGCCAGAACAATTACCAACGCAGGCGCTACACATGAAAAGATCTGAAGTGAAAGCAAGAGGCCGCCCTAAGAGAAATGGATTGATGATATTAAAGAGCTTCTACATGAGCACGGAATGACAATAGCCATTGCTGCCCATCAAGCAGTGGATCGCAAACCATTCCTCCACAAAACGCTTAGCGGCAGAAGTGGAAATTGATGATGATGATGATGATGACGATGATAAGTGCTTTATGTTTTCATTGTCTGCCTGTGTGTCTTCTTTGGCGAAGAGGTGGCTTGAAACGCTGACAGAACAAAGACCAAATTTACGAGCAGAGATCTGCACAAGGACGACGGAAGTCGCCACAATTAATGTTTCATGAGCAACATAAAGTCTTAAGTATAGGTCAACACAGTAATGTAGTGGTAACAATAGCAACAGTAGCAGAAGTAGTAGCAGTAATAGTAGATGCAGTAATTTCTTTGTTTGTACTGTTGCCAGCGTAGCTACTGTTTGTGAACAGCAACTACGAAGATACGTACGTATCTTGCAATAAGTCAGTCTCTACGAAGAAGCATAACTTCATGTCTGAATGGTCCTGAATTCAATGTACTTGACTTACCCTTGGGCCCGTCGCAAGTATGATCTTTAGAAGGCCCTGTCCCTGGTGAAGGAGTCAGACCTCGGCCTCGTTCCCAGTCGAAGAAGTCTGAAGTGTCATTGATGTTGGTAAAGCCGCAAAGGTTCGGATCTTCAAAGCCGCAGAAGGTGCTAATTCTGGCTACAGGATTGACGAAAAACAAATCATTGGCTAATCGAGAAGAACTGTTGGTTAGGGTTAGGGTTATCTGGGACGAACTGATGTTGTAACAGATGCTGCTGTTATTGACATACATGGAGAAGGTTGTTTGTGAAAGAACTTTAGTAGGTTGATTTGCACGACATGGAGTGTGTTGTTTTAAGACATGGCGTGGGTTGCAAGAAATGAAGTGGCTAATGTTGTTGTTGCTGCTGTTGCTGTTTTTGTAAGATCTCGGTATGGGTTTTGTAAATTCGGGTGTGGCTTCGTAGTTGTAAATCTCACGTGGGTTAATGTCGCTGTTATTGTAAGAGCTGTTTGGGTTGTTGTGTCTGCTTTTGTAACTGTTGTGCGAGATTTAGTGGAGCAGACTGTTTTGTTGTTGTTGTTGTTGTAAGACAGAGTGAGTTGTACCAAATGCGAACTGTCGTAGTAACTGAGCTTTGTTGTTGTAACTGTGTTTGTTGTAAGTGTGGGTGTTTGGTGTAACGTATGGCTGCGACACAAATGTTTAGCATATATGTATATTATTTACAGTTTTTCGCGACTAAAACTTTATTGTTGGGCCTCGAAAGGTGGTTTTACATGAAATATTCTTAGAATTGTTTCCACACTCTGTTTTTTTTTTTTTTTTTTTAGTATCCAGAAGCCATGAGTTGTTAACCCTTAGGCTAGGTATTATGGACATCGCAACCCTTCGGCCTTGATTACATGATAAATATCGTAAATCTGGGAGAAATGTGGCTTTTCTGCCTATCCCCGGGCGTGAACCCGGACCACAAGGAGTTCGTCACCCGGTCACCGCGCAGAGTCCGGTTTAGCCAACTACGCTAGCGAGCCGGGCATTTGGACAATCAAGAGCAGCAGCCCTGATATTTTCAACGAAGGCGAAAGGCTCGAAGACAACATATCAACAAATTTCAGAGAAAAAAGAAGACTATCATCATTTTGGGGGGAAAGGGGGGGGGGGTATCATATTGTGACAAGAAGGAAAGTGGAAAATGCTGTGACCAGTAGAAAGATCTGTGGGGGGGGGGTGGGGGCAAGAGGGGGGGGGGGCAAGAGGGGGGGGAATACAGAGGAAGACAATTTGAGAAGATTCCTGACAGCTGTTTGTCACGGCCTGAAGGGATGTCTACATATGAACTTATAGATGCTGTCGAAGATCGCAGAATGTGCATAGGCATGATCGCCTATGTCAGTCGGCAAGACACTTGATCATGGTTTCCCCATTACAATATGAAAGTTATGACGCTCATACCATGGTCAGTATCAAATCACAATGGTCTGCTACCAAATCTCCTGTAACTAACTTGAAACAAGTGTGTTAGATGCCGTTAAGTCCTAGACGCCAAGTGTTTTTGATGGATCGGGGTAAACGTTTAACAAAAGTTTGTATTTTACTTTAAAAGTTGAATAAAACAAACAAAAACAAACCAAAAAAAAAAAAAAAATAACTGAATATTTGAGTCCAACAATTCTTGCCATGTTTAAAGTCGGGTAAAGTAAGTTAAAATTCAGAAAGATACACGATATCCTGTTTATTGTCCTGAACCCTACAGAGAATTGCAGAAAGGGGACATGTGCAGGACTAGACGTGTGTTTTCGTCTATGGGCGCTGACACAAATAAATCATTGGGGAAGGGGCGTACATATATCTGGGGTGCGGGAGGGGGGGGGGGTTAGGGGAGAAGCTTTGATTAAGTGATTAATAACCATAATACAAATAATCTTTTTGCTACTCCGCGTTTACCGGTTGTAAATGCCTGTGGAAAGTTTTAGTTGTTCTGGTAGTCTGGTCTGGTAGTCTTAGTTTCAGCTTCATAGCAAACGGGTCGCCCCATCTTTGCTCCGCTCCTGTGCCAGCGAAAATCACCCAGAATGTTTATCACAGTCCCTTGTGGAAAGATTGACAGACTGCTGTCTCAGCATATCTAGCATACACTCGCATTAACGCATATGGTAGCCATCCGAAGTGCTAACACAGACAGTCCAACATTAGAAACGCAGTTCATCATTGATGATAGCAGAACTTGTCGCCAACAGATCAGCAGTTGCCCGCGCGATCAATTTTAATGCGGGTCCCGCCAGCATTGCACGACCGGCATCGCGCCATTTTCTGAATCTACAATTCACACCACGTTGGTCACAGTCGAAAAAAACATTCCAAATGCAATCCGCAGCTCACAGGGTCACGCCATGCATTCAACTCAGAAGCTGGGCGACGAAAACTATATCCAGTCTACAAAATGGAGCAAAAATACTTCGGCCACCGTCCGGCAGAAGCAAAAAATTTGCCTCCGCTCCGAACAGCGCCGCTGTCTAGCGTCCATTTTAACCGGAAGTCAAATGTTCGTTCTTGCATGTGCATCCATTATTCAGATCTAGACTATCCTCCTCATAACTGCCACATATTATGGCGGCCAAAAACACACCCTAGCAGGGCGTCGGTCACATGTAAATTGCTAACTTCCGGCGACTATACTGCCACCGCCGAGAGTATCTTCTGCAGCGTTGCTCGTGAGTCCCAGCCATCTAGTTTAGACCCGCTACGCGCCGCGCGCAGCAGCACAGGAGATACTCTCGGCGGTGCCGGTATAGTCGCCGGAAGTCCTCAATTTACATGTGATTGAGGCCCTGTTTTTGGCCGCCTAATATGTGGCCGTTATCCAGAGGATAGCCCAGATCTGTCTTAACTGTATGTAGACGTCTCGTCCATTGTCTTCCAGGCAGGAGCACTCTGACTTCGATAAAAATCCCTAATTAATTGACTGTTACCACATGATGGTGATGGAGGTAGTGGGTCTACCCCCCCCCCCTTCTTTTTTTCTCACCCGTCGCATATCGGGGAACCCGAAACCCACACGGGGAGAACGAATTATAATAATCGGCAATGATAATGTATTTTTAAAAATTTGATATCCAGAAAAGAAACTTACACCGATAACTTCTATGTATAGTAGGGGGCGAGGCTACAATTCCGCCTTTCCATCTAAATACGTTTTAGTTGCTCAATCAAGGCGCCCTCGACTTTCCACCGACACCCCTCCCCCCCCCCCCCCCCCCCCCCCCCCCCCCCACCCCCCTCTTCTATGTTCACGTCTTAGAATGTGGGAAAACCTGGTGAAGTTACGATCCGATAACAACCATTATAATAGAAATCTGAGACGCAAATGTGTCTCTCAATAGGCATCTTTGTGTTTCCCTGTAAACAACACAACGACCAACACAGGCACAGTTTATTTTTTGGCATTTGCGATATCAAAGCCGAGTAATTTAAAATTATCAGTAATGGCGACTGCCAGCGTTTTGTTTGGTTTGACGCGGAGATATCACATGTCATGGAAATTAGGGCGCTAAGAAGGTTGCTTCATTCTGATCTGGGTCCTATTTCAAAAAGAAGACACTGTGATAGAAATATCAAGGTCGAGGGGCGGGTGACCTAACAGTTGGGTTATCAGTCTAGAACATGGAGGGGGTATCAGCAGTATGTGTTTTGTAACGCGGTGGGTAACGGGTGGGAACCTGTTGACGATACATTTTTTTAATATAACAGGCGTCATGAATGTTGAAGCAAGGATTAATTCATTCTCTTCCGTGCTTATAACCATGCATCTGTTTGAGTTTGTTACGGTCGTTGTCGTAGTGGCTGTTGTTGTTGATGTTGCTCTTCTTCTTCTTCTTCTTCTTCTTCTTCTTCTTCTTCTTCTTCTTCTTCTTCTTCTTCTTCTCCTTCTTCTTCTTCTTCTTCTTCTTCTTCTTCTTCTTCTTCTTCTTCTTCTTCTTCTTCTTCTTCTTCTTTTTCTTGATCTTCTTCTCCTTCTTCTTCTTCTCCTTCTTCTTCATCTTCTTCTTCTTGTTATTATTATTAATATTATTTCTCTTCTACTCCATCTTTTCATTTTCTTTATCCCCCCTCGTCGTCCTCCTCATTCTTCTTCTTCTTCTTCTTCGTCTTCTTCTTCTTCTTCTTCTTCTTCTTCTTCTTCTTCTTCTTCTTCTTCTTCTTCTTCTTCTTCTATTGTTGTTGTTGTTATTATTGTTATTATTATTTTTTTTTCTACTCCACTTCCATTTTCCTTATCCTTGTTCTCCTCCTCCTCCTTCTTCTTCTTTTTCCTCTTCTTCTTCTTCTTCTTCTTCTTCTTCTTCTTCTTCTTCTTCTTCTTCTTCTTCTTCTTCTTCTTCTTCTTCTTCTTCTTCTTCTTTTTCTTCTTTTTCTTCTACTACTACTTCTTAAGTGTTGGCCCTTGACTATAGTCGCATTGTGTTAAGGTTATCATCTCTGATGCTACATCTTCGCCTGTGAACCCAACACATCTGATTTCATTAGTTGTCTTTTACGACACGCGTCTCATGAAGCCCCAGAACCCACAAGGGCAGACATAAAAACTCACAGAGAAGGGACCTAGAGCAGGGCTATTCATCTGGCGGCCCGCGGGCCAAATCTGGCCCGCCAAGGCCTAGCAAGTAGCCCGCTGAACACTTTTAGCTGTATTGTATTTTCGATCTTTCAATGCTAGGGCTAAGACCTCTGGCCCGTGATGATTCCCATTTTTGAACATTTTGGAGCCTGAACCAACTTAGTTGAATAGCCTTGACCTAGAGAGTAAAGTTTTAAAATAGGAAAGAAAAGGGCAGCGACGGTCTCTCACATATATAACGAGTACACCCCTAACGATCTCATCTGTTTGGTGAATTAGGTAACAGTGAGAAGATCTGCAGGAAGGCCAAGGTTACGCTATACAGACATGTTATTACCACCCACCCCACCCCCTCCTTCCCAACAATTCCCCGAAACCTACGCATGGAATATAAACTTTAGAATCCAAGTGAATTGCCCGGTCATTCCATAGGCGGGAACCTCAAGCAGGCGAAACTAGGAGGTAATCATTGGTAACGATACATGCATACAGACATATATGCACGCAAACTGGCATATCTCTACTGATTCTCCTCATCTTCCCTCACCTTTCTGTCCC